AACTTGGATATTCTTTATGTGCTAACCATTTAGGATATTGGTAGACTTGAAAACTTTTTCAGTTACCTCCAGGTAGGCTAGTATATTAGCACCGTTAGGTCAAGTAAGAGGAATGTTTTTAAGTTTAACTCGGTGTAGATATGCATGTAAAGAAAATCCATCTAGTGATGTATGTGCAATTAATTATCTAGATTTCAAACCTTGGGAGTGGCTTTCCTGCTTGTTAGTATGCATGGTATCCAAGAATCAGAAATCATATGGATGATATTGTATAAAATTGAGGGTATATATGAGAAACTTGATTTTGTGAGATAACAACCTTATAAAGTTAATGATTTTCTTTGAGGATATTAAATGGTTATGTTGACTTAATTAGAAACATATTCTTACGATTTATGGATACGGATTTGGATCTTTTTCATGGTTAGGATTGACTATGACCTTGGATTTAATTGTTGAAATATCTAAATTTAGTTAATTGGATCTTCATTCGTTATCAATCAAATTTGTAATATGAATCGGGTACAACATTGATGAATTTTTTTTTGTTAAAATTTTATGGTCGGAAGTAGTTCATAGCTAGTTCATGATCTCTTATAAGGTACTTATGAAAGCATAATCAGATCTGATTAGTTAACAGACACAAGATTGGATCAAGCCCATGAGAACTTTTTGAGGATTCATAATATTAGAATTGAGATTTATGATTGGAACTTACAAGGTGATTTTTTTTGGAATTATAATGGATAAATCCTTATAAATAGGTTTAGCGGGATAAATAATAAGTGCTGTAGATAGATTAGCTTAGAACTTTGATGGATTAGAATGGTTTAGTAATCAGTAACTACATGTTATAATTTGCTTATATATATTAGGTTACAAATATGATGAGGAAGATGAACTAGACCAGAATGTCTTTGTATTTAATCCTTCTATCTTCACTTTATATCTTTCAATTTTTCTTAACCAAGTGATTATATATATGAGTATATGTAGCTTGACACGTGAGCTTGGCATGAACCCGTGGTTGCTTGATATTTGTGCTCCTGATACATCCCTAGACTATTCAATACGAGTTATGCACGGTGTATGATGTTGATATGACTATGTATCCAATATATGATTGAGATATTTCATGATGCTTGATATCTAGAAAAATATATTAATTATTGAGAATTGCCACTAAAACATGATTCCAACCACATGTCTATAAGTTTAAGAACTACAAGAAAAAAAATTCGTGAAAGGTCTCAGGATAAGATCTACCAGTTTTATATTAGTATCAAATTATCTTATGTTATACATGTTTATAATGCCATAGTGTTGAATGTCAAGCGAGTCCTTCAAGATACCATTGTAACATTGATATTGGGATACATGTTTTAGTGAGAGGGGGCTCGTGATCTTCCTCCACTAGATTTTTATTGGTGGTGGTCCTAAGAGTGACGATCCTTAGAACCAAATTGGGAAAGAATTGGTTTACATGTATCACGTCTTGACTGATCTCGCTGGGGATTCATATTATGGAGAGTCATTCTGATACGTTTAAATGATATGGTATGAGATATATACAACGACAATCTAGATTTGGGTAGAACATATCATGTAAACGAATAGTAAAGTGAAATTCATAAGGGATAGTGAGAAACTGATGATGAAGTTTTAATGCGTAAACGAGCGACCTATCATATGCATATCAGGATGCACAGATATACATTTAGGTGAAAGCTATACCCTTGATATATCAGAGTATTCTCGGGTGAGAATTGGAAGTATTTATATGCATGGATGTGTTTACCATATTTCCAAGAAATGTTTTTTTAGATAAGAGGTCAAATAATGAATAAGTTATATTACTCTTTACATCTCTACAAGTAAAATATTTTTATGACTTTACTATATCAGGTGACATGTATTCTAGACATATATCTATCATGGAGACCTCATTTATTTATTTATTTATTTTGTGTGTGTTTATTATCTGTATATACCGCTTATGGAGAGGTGTATATATGTTACCAAATGTTCTTTCTTGTACTTAAATAAAATTTCGAGGACGAAATTTCTTTTCTTAGGTGGGTAGGATGTAATAATCATTTTTTTATGCAAGTTAGTAAATTTGGTTGGGTATGCAAGGTTTTATAAGTAAGACCCACATTCATTTTTTTGGGACAAACCATATTCAAAGGTCCAGTTAACTTTAAAGAAAAAAAAAGAAAAGAGTTCTCATAGGCCCAACTAGAAAGCCCATATCCCCTCTTCCCCTTTTTATTTTCATTCACATGTGAGGGAGTAATTTCGGTATTTATATCCATCATTAACGAAAATTGATTTTTTAGGATTTGGATTAAACCGATTTGTTTCAAAATAAATAAATAAACAAATAAAATCATAGAAAAATCTCTAACTACCTAACCACTTAATCTCTTTAAAATCTATATCTAATCTCTTTCCACAAATCCCTCAACTAACAACCAAATCTCCAATAATCCCTCCACTAATTCCCCTAATCTCTCCACTAAACAAAGCCCCCTTCCAAATCATTTATCATGGGATAAAGAGAGCACACTTCGCACGAAAAAAACAGAAAGGAAAAAGAGAAGAAAAAAAGCAACCGGAAAAAAATAAAAGAGAGAAAAAAAGGAAATACAGAGAAGAAAGAGTAACAATCAATGTTGAGGATGGGTGGAAAAGGAGGTTGTGTGGTGTTTACATTTTTTATATTAATCGGCAAGCATTCTTTCAACTCTTTTATTTTATCACTTAATATTATTTTCATAATTGGCAAGCATATTATATCTTGCTCATTATTCTTGTACAAACATTTCTTATTCTTCAACTCTTTATTTTTCATAATCGGCAAGTGTTTATAAACTTTTATCAGTAAGCACACTTCCCATTTTTATTTTTATCCAAAACAATTTATTAAATAATTTGCACATCTTTAAATATTATGTTACACATAGTATGTTATCAGTAGAAATTTCGTAATGATTGCTAAAATTTCTAATACTCGGTTGGTGTAAGAACAAACCAACCTAAGCACAATTCTTTATATTAAATATGTTCCACTTTATTTGTGTATGTTTTCTTGTATGAAAATTTGTGCATATTATAAAAGTGGCACCTCTTAAGGAATTGCACAAACATATAGTTACATCCTTAAGTTACTATGCCCGTAGATAACCAACTATAAATATAAATAATATGTTGATGATAGCATTGATATAAGATGTGATAAAAAAAATATAACTGAGATAATATAAACCATGCTGACTCTTTTTTAATACATACTATTGAACGTACTCATGCAAGATATTATACATGTACGTACTACTATGGTTATATATATGTGCAGCTAGCTACTATATCTGACATGCACATAAATGCTACTCGTATGTGATCTAGTTAGTGATGATAGATAACTCATTCAAAAGTTGCAATCGATTTCATATATGATAAAGTCATAAAATGATTTATTCATGAATTATATATAATTATGATCTCACACCTAACAGAACAGACTTTAGAAGTTTAAGGGTTATAGATAAATATGAAGAATGCTTAGAACTATTGTGAAAGGATAGTAGTATTATAAAGATGTTGCGCATACATGAACATGATATATGATAACATTGATTAAAGAGTACATGACATTATATGTTATATGCCAGACATTATTATTAGTCATATAGAGAACACACTTTACTGTAAATATATCAAAACTGACAACTTGTAACCCTATATATGCAAATCAATATTAACCAATGCTAATGACTAGTGTTTTGATACTACTCAACTTTGAATATAAACCAAGCTACTAAATATACTAACGCATCGTATATATTGAGTTTATTAATTAATTTAATATAGATGAATGGATAAATATTTGTTAATGTTTATGAATTACTAATTTGTACTTGTTATGAAACTATGTTTGGAGAGTTCATGTTTATGGAATTTTGTACCATCAAGTGCCTAAATAAGCAAGACTTATCTGGTATTTGTAATGGAGATCACTTGAAATGTCATGATTAGATTACTGTGTTTGACAAACATGACTTTATGAAAAATTATTATTTGATCACCTAGTTGTCATCCAATAGAAGAGACTGTGCATGAAGACGACTCCTGTTAAAAATATGATTTATAAGCGTGCTTTCATAGCATGGTTATCCCCTCGATATCGATATCCCGATATGAGGTATTTTCTTGGATATTACTATTGTAGCATCGACTAGACGATGCACCCATCTTGATTGGACATGTTTTGGGTCACGGTTATTTTCATCGTTTTACAGAAGTCGTTCCATGGTAACTCTGTGGTTAGTGCACAATATTTCATGCATAGTCACTTAAAATTTAACTTACAAACATGGGGTTTATAAAGGGGAATTAGACGGAGAATATAACATATATATAAACGGGTACATGCGCATTCCTGATATTCTGAGTTATATATGCATGGGCCAAAGGGACAATATTTGACTTGAAGCTATGTTCCCGGGATGGTTTACGGGGAACCGATTTATATACATGAAAGTATTCTTCTCTAATTCAAATATCATGTAAAATAAGAATAATGTGTTTATATGCTTTGTGATAGATTTGGCATACATGACATGACCTAGATTAAGTATTGGTGATGTATATTTTGATTGGTTGTTTATAGAATTTTGGGAGTTAATATTTAGAGATTTCAATTTTGAGATATATGGTATATACGAGGGTTTCCTTGTTTGGATTATTCCCTCGATGTACTCATCTAGTGTTGTAGGTTTCTAAATCTTACCTCCTTTTAGTATAGGGTATAAGATATGTGCTTTGTGGTAGACCTTGTTTGATATCCATGTTTAGAAATTTCCTTTATCATCTTTAATTGAGTTTCCATATTTCTTTATCCCTGCCATATACCCTTACATGCGCACAATTTCCTCATTTTTCATCATTGCTGGGAGTTTTCTGACTTCCCTGGGGTTTGCATGCCCCAGACTTGGGAACCGTTTTTTTAGCAGGACCGAGCGTACCTTAAGGATCAGATTCAGCAGCAGTGTTACCTTCGGTCCTATCACTCTCTCAGCTTCAGTTTATTTAGGTAGTTATTTATTTTAGACTTTTCCCGTAATCACCTATGATTTTTCAGACTACGATGTATTTTCCCCTTTCCCATTTTTGATAGTTGTGGACTTGTCGTAGAACTTTGTAATTGCAGAGATTTTTTTACCTATCTATTTTTCTTGTTGTCTTAGTTACATGCTCTATGTAGTCATTCTTAGCAATATATTTGTGTACAGGTTGATCAAGAAGAGTGAATGTGACTGTATGGATACATTGTCGGCCAAGTCACGTCCCAAACTATCACGTTTTGGAAACCGGGGCGTGACAAAGTTTTTAGCGGTATCAGAGCCAGGTTAGATAACTAGACTCTCATCGTGTACATAACTATTGGAGCTTTTAAAATAGGAATACGAGTCTGAGCATGTATAATATTAGGCTTGTTCACCCTTTCAATATCTTTTTTGCGCTCACTCCTTTGATTCCGCATCCAAATTCATTTCTATCTTAACAGTTAATTCCTTTTCCTTCTCAAGCCAAGTGTATCCAGACTTAGTCAATGAGCACCGATAGGTTTTTGTAGATTAGCCCTATGCTTCATAACTTAAACTACCATGAAAGTTGTCCAGCCACTAGTACTCACCTTAGTAACTACTACAAGTTTAGTGATGCCTGTTTTTGGATGAAGTTATCTCGACCAACTGATCATCTAAATTAAACCATTTAGCTCCAGTTAGTTCATGAGACTGAACTTGGATATTCTTTATATTCTAACCAATTAGGATATTGGTAGACTTGAAAACTTTTTCAGTTACCTCCAACAAGGCTAGTATCTTAGCACCGTTAGGTCAAGTGAGAGGAATGTTTTTAAGTTTAACTCGGTGTAGATATGCATGTAAAGAAAATCCATCTGGTGATGTATGTGCAGGTAATTATCTTGATTTCAAACCCTGGGAGTGGCTTTCCTGCTTGTTAGTATGCATGGTATCCAAGAATCAGAAATCATATGGATGATATTGTATAAAATTGAGGGTATATATGAGAAACTTGATTTTGTGAGATAACAACCTTATAAAGTTAATGATTTGCTTTGAGGATATTAAATGGTTATGTTGACTTTAAAGAAAAAAAAAGATAAGAGTTCTCATAGGCCCAACTAGAAAGCACATATCCCCTCTTCCCCTTTTTATTTTCATTCACATGTGAGGGAGTAATTTCGGTATTTATCTCCATCATTAACGAAAATTGATTTTTAGGATTTGGATTAAACCGATTTGTTTCAAAATAAATAAATAAATAAAATCATAGAAAAATCTCTAACTACCTAACCACTTAATCTCTTTAAAATCTATATCTAATATCTTTCCACAAATCCCTCCACTAACAACCAAATTTCCAATAATACCTCCACTAATTCCCCTAATCTCTCCACTAAACAAAACCCCCTTCCAAATCATTTATCATGGGATAAGGAGAGCACACTTCGCACGGAAAAAAAAAGAAAGGAAAAAGAGAAAGAAAAAAAGCAACCGGAAAAAAATAAAAGAGAGAAAAAAAGGAAATACAGAGAAGAAAGAGAAACAATCGAAGTTGAGGATGAGTGGAAAAGGAGGTTGCGTGGTGTTTACATTTTTGACATTAATCAGCATGCATTCTTTCAACTCTTTTATTTTATCGCTTAATATTATTTTCATAATTGGCAAGCATATTATATCTTGCTAAATATTCTTGTGCAAACATTTCTTATTCTTCAACTCTTTATTTTTCATAATCGACAAGTGTTTATCTTCATGCTTGTTTTACGATTTTTTTTTATAAACTTTTATAAGTAAGCACACTACCCATTTTTATTTTCATCCAAAACAATTTGTTAAATAATTTGCACATCTTTAAATATTATGTTACACACAGTATGTTATCAGCAATAGTTTCGCAATGATTGCTAAAATTTCTAATACTCGGTTGGTGTAAGAACAACCCAACCTAAACACATTTCTTTATATTAAATATGTTCCACTTTATTTGTGTATGCTTTCTCGTATGAAAATTTCTGCATATTATAAAAGTGACACCTCTTAAGGAATTGCACAAACATATAGTTACATCCTTAAGTTACTATGCTCGTAGATAGCCAACTATAAATATAAATAATATTTTGATGATAGCATTGAAATAAGATGTGATAAAAAAAATAACTGAGATAATATAAACTATGCTGACTGTTATTTAATACATACTATTGAACGTACTCATGCAAGATATTATAACTGTACGTACTACTATGGTTATATATATGTGCAGCTAGCTACTATATCTGACATGCACATAAATGCTACTTGTATTTGATCTAGTTAGTGATGATAGATAACTCATTCAAAAGTTGCAATCGATTTCATATGTGATAAAGTCATAAAATGATTTATTCATGAATTATACATAATTATCATCTCACACCTAACAGAACATACTTTAGAAATTTAAGGGTTATAGATAAATATGAAGAATGCTTAAAACTATTGTGAAAGGATAGTAGTATTATAAAGATGTTGCGCATACATGAACATGATATATGATAACATTGACTAAAGAGTACATGACATTATATGTTATATGCCATACATTATTATTAGTCATATAGAGAACACACTTTACTGTAAATATATCAAAACTGACAACTTGTAACCCTATATATGCAAATCAATATTAACCAATGCTAATGATTAGTGTTTTGAAACTACTCAACTTTGAATATAAACCAAGCTACTAAATATACTAACGCATCGTATATATTGAGTTTATTAATTAATTTAATATAGATGAATGGCTAAATATTTGTTAATGTTTATGAATTATTAGTTTGTACTTGTTATGAAACTATGTTTGGAGAGTTCATGTTTATGGAATTTTGTACCATCAAGTGCCTAAATAAGCAAGACTTATCTGGTATTTGTAATGGAGATCACTTGAAATGTCATGATTAGATTACTGTGTTTGACAAGCATGACTTTATGAAAAATTATTATTTGATCACCTAGTTGTCATCCATTAGGAGAGACTGTGCATGAAGACGACTCCTGTTAAAAATATGATTTATAAGCGTGCTTTCATAGCATGGTTAGGAGAGACTGTGCATGAAGACGACTCCTGTTAAAAATATGATTTATAAGCGTGCTTTCATAGCATGGTTATCCCCTCCATATCGATATCCCGATATGAGGTATTTTCTTAGCTATTACTAATGTAGCATCGACTAGACGGTGCACCCATCTTGATTGGACATGTTTTGGGTCACGGTTATTTTCATAGTTTTACAGAAGTTGTTCCATGGTAACTCTGTGGTTAGTGCACAATATTTCATGCACAGTCACTTAAAATTTAACTGACAAACATGGGGTTTATAAAGGAGAATTAGACGGAGAATATAACATGTATATAAATGGGTACATGCGTATTCCTGATATCCTGAGTTATATATACATGGGCCAAAGGGCCAATACTTGACTTGAAGCCGTGTTCCCGGGACGGTTTACAGGGAACCGATTTATATACATGAAAGTATTCTTCTCTAATTCAAATAACATGTAAAATAAGAATAATGTGTGGGAACCGATTTATATACATGAAAGTATTCTTCTCTAATTCAAATAACATGTAAAATAAGAATAATGTGTTTATATGCTTTGTGATAGATTTGGCAAATAACATGTAAAATAAGAATAATGTGTTTATATGCTTTGTGATAGATTTGGCATGCACGACATGACCTAGATTAAGTATTGGTGATGTATATTTTGATTGGTTGTTTATAGAATTTTGGGAGTTGATATTTAGAGATTTCAATTTTGAGATATATGATATATACGAGGGTTTCCTTATTTGGATTATTTCCTCGACGTACTCATATTGTGTTGTAAGTTTCTAAATCTTACCTCCTTTTAGTATAGGGTATAAGATATGTGCTTTATGGTAGACCTTGTTTGATATCTATGTTTAGAAATATCCTTTATCATCTTTAATTGAGTTTCCATATTTCTTTATCCCTGCCACATACCCTTACACGCGCACAATTTTCTTATTTTTCTTGCTTGCTGGGAGTTTTCTGACTCCCCTGGGGTTTGCATGCCCCAGACTTAGGAATCGTTTTTTTTAGCAGGACCGAGCGTACCTTGAGGATCTGATTCAGCAGCAGTGTTACTTTCGGTCCTATCACTCTCTCAGCTTTAGTTTATTTAGGTAGTTATTTTTTTAGACTTTTCCCGTAATCACCTGTGATTTTCCAGACTACGATGTATTTTCCCCATTCCCATTTTGGATAGTTGTGGACTTGTCATAGAACTTTGTAATTGCAGAGATTTCTTTACCTATCTATTTTTCTTGTTGTTTTAGTTATATGCTCTATGTAGTAGTTCTTAGTAATATATTTGTGTTCCGGTTGATCCAGAGGCGTGAATGTGACTGTATGGTTACATTGACGACCAAGTCACGTCCCAAACTATCATATTTTGGAAACCGGGGCGTGACAATTATTTTATCATAGAGAATCACATATATTGTATTCATGCTCCCATGTTATTTACCCGAGAGTGGGTATAAGATTGAGGTTGTCATACATGATATTTCTATACGAGCTTCATTTTACCGGATGATTATTCTTGTAATTGTGCCACCTACCTAAGGGTAGTGTGAGATATTTGTACATGACATGTATTGGATGAGGTTTGGAAATTGTATTGCTTTTATTTACTCTTTTATTCATAGGATTTTGAAGTTAGTATTTAGCAATTCATAATTTGAGATACGAGGTATATACAGGAGGGTTTCCTTGTTTTAATTATTTCGCTCGACATACCCATTCTCGTATTGTGGATTTCTAAATATCAATTTTCACTTAGTATAGGATTGATGATTTATATATCAATATGTATTAATCTGTATCTTTATACTCCTAGCCCCCTTCCCCCTAGGGGCGGTGGAGATGTGCTCGCTAGCACTTTTATGCTCGTTGTTTCTCTTTATAGGCAGTGAGTCAGGCGCTCGGAGAGTTGCAGGTTGGTGGAGTTTTGGCTTAGCTTCCATCATTAATTATTATTAGTAGTTTATTTGTGCTCAACAGTAGTTATGGCTTATTTTCAGACATTAGAGTTGTATTTTATTTTGGAAGGCTGAGTGCCTTAGTACTATTTCAATTGACTGTTTTGTATTGAGATATTTCATCTATGTTTTAGATATCAGTTGTACTTTATCATGTTCATTGCATCCTTATCTTTATTTTTTCTGCTTTGTACCTACACATAATTATTGTTGATTCCACTAGAGAGATATTACTGTGATGTGAAACATGTTATTGTACAGTGTGGGTGCATGGTAGGTTTAACATCTTTGGGTTCACCTAGGACTGCAGCCTTGTGTGAAACCAGGGGCATCACAGTTAGTATCAGAGCTCTGATTCCAGCATCCTTAGGATCATCTTGTGTTGAGTCATGGAGCTCGGATAGAGTTTTCTAGGATTCATGTATAGAGTATGCTAGGAATTCCTAGATTGAGTGAGGATGTTATACGTATACCTCAAAAATTATGAAAATTTTAATGATAACTATCTTACTTTTATTATAAAGTATTCTTTGAATGATATGTGATACGATTTTCCTATGGTTATATGTTATGTTATATATGCTCGAGATCTCATTTATTGTGTCTAATAATCTCTACAACTAAACTTATTATAGATGTCAGGATGAGGATGCGGTCGTGGTAGAACCCATGCTCAGGGAGTTTGGCAAGCTAATCCAGAGCCCAAGCAACAGCAGGCTCCACAGTATCTGATTGATCTTATAGCACCGGTTGTATCCCGGTTAGCAGCGATTGAGAAGCAAATAGTGAATCAGGTTTCGCCAGATGAATTTATTATAGAGTCATACCACCACCAGCTGTTGATAGGGTTATAGGGAGGGATGCTTAGCTTCGTTTGGTTGAGAGGTACCAAAAGTTGAGGGCACAGAGTTCCAAGGCTCATCAGATTCACTTGTAGCCCATAAATGGAAGGAAGATGTGGGTAACATCTTAGATATGCTTGGTGTCGGTTCGATCTAGAAGCTGAGGTTGGCAGCTTTTAGCCTTAAGGGCGATGCCTGAGGATGGTATAGGCTTCAGTCCAAACTAAAGCAGCGTATGACGCTTACCTTGGAGGATTTCACTTATTTCTTCGACGACCGGTATGTATCGGAAAGAGTTAGAGCTAGCCCGTTTGGAGCAGTGAGACATATCTGTAGCTGACTATGAGAGCAAGTTTGTGGGACTACTTAGATTTACCGGCATGTGGTAGATAGGGGAGTGTCAGGCTTAATTATTTTTGATAGGACTTCGCCCTAGCTTACGTCGCTATTTAGTGTCTCGGCATTTTCATTCAATGCAGGAGGTTGCCGATACGGCTAAATTTTAGGAGACCGAGACCGCTATGTGCCAAAAGAGTAAGGATGGAAGCTCTAAAGTAGGACAGTCCGGGGACAAAGGAAAGGGGAAGAGGCCATTTCAGGACCCGTAGGACCCTAGCAGCAGGGCAAGGGTTCATAGTAGCAACAATAAAGTCCTCATAAGAAGGGACCACAGCATGATTAGAGGGCACCACAACAGCGTAGATTCCAGGGTGCTTGTTATAACTGCCATAAGATCGGTCATAGAGCCACAGAGTGTCGTAGTGCACCAGCAGTGCAAGAGTCAGAGTCAGTAGGAGAACCATGGACAATGCTGAGGTTAGGGCCAGCAGTTGAGACTTGAGGCATCGCCAATAGTTCTGAGGATTGAGGGGTAGGTTCAAGCTATTCAGGAGATTCCATAGGCACATATAGTTCGTTATACCTCCGATCCTTTAGTGCAGCAGACCACAAATTCATACAGAGTGTATGTAGTCATACTGCGTGATCATGGTGCGAGCAGGGCCGTAGTGGAAGGTGAAAGGCCCTAGAGGGTGGGTGAATAGGGTTTATGGATGAATAAAATGCAATTAAAAGTAATTCCAACAAACCACACACAAAATGAAATGCAATGATAATAAAAAGAGAGTAGAGATAGAGATAGTTAGCCAATTGATGACGCACGATGTGTTTACGAGGTTCGGTCCGCTGACCTACGTCATCGCTCCCCACTCTCGAGGAGAAATTCACTACACACCCGGTTTGGAAGCCGGAACTTCTTCTACACAATGATCTCCTCCGAGATCTCACAACCACACAGTAGATCTCCACAAGATAAAGCTCATAACAGTCACAATTCGAAGACAAACTCTCTTTTTACAGAAGCCCTATGGCAAGAGGAGAGATTGCAATTGAAGCTTGGGATGTCAACATAGAAATAGTGAAAGCAAATAAAAGTTGAAGCTTTTTTGAAAACAATAAACTTAAACTCAAGTAATTTGTAAAGAAAGCTTGGTACTAAGGTAGATGGGGTTGATAGGTATTTATAATGAGAGAAAACTGCAGCCAAAACCCTAAAGAACCAAACAGAATCCCGAGAAAATTGGATTTCTAAAACAAAACAAATATAGTCGTTACAGTACCCATCCGTTGACTGATGGGAAGCATCAGTCGACTGATGAGCTGAACATTGTATACGATATTCAGGTCATCAGTCGACTGATGATCATTTCAGTCAATTGATAATCTCGTCAGTCGACCGGTCAGTCGATCAAAACAGAACAGAGAGCAAAATATAATTCTAGGCACTTTCATTAATCGACACATCGGTCAACTAACTTCATCAGTCGACTGATAACATGTTATCAGCCTGAATTGATTTGGAAATTGAATTTCAAGGCTCTATAAAAAATAGTAAATAAATACCAAAAAATATGAAACTTTGTAACAGTTTATAAACATTTTGACAAACTTATTTGAAAAAGAATTTTGTAAAAAGGTCCTTATATTTGTGAAAACTTAACGTTTATCAAAAATATACATAATACATGTTTTTGATGAATCTTGAAAATGTAGTTTGACATGTAAGAACATGTGAAAACTTTATGAAATATTTTTATAAATGTTATAAAACATGAATGTGATGTAAACAAGATTAATAAACCAATATTGCATTGTTTTCTCAAATAAACTCATTTTATAATAAAAACAAAATTGTGTGTGTGTATATATATATTAAGCTTAAAATATATTCACACAATATACGCTACAAAAACAACTAATATACCAATGCTAGATGGATCTTCAATATGCTCGTCTTGGTAATGGATGAACCTAGATCTTGAATATGACTTGATGTGCAATGGCTTCATTCTACTATTCCACCAACCTCTATTTGATGTGATCGTGTAGGCTCAATCCATCCAACCTCCAACTATGGTGCTAATGATTTATAATCTACAATATAGCTCAATACACAATTAGCACTAATAATGGTGTTTGTAAATAATCATCAAAATAAAGGATCTAACCGTCTCTCTCTTTTTGATGATGATAAACACTATTATATGAGAGCAAATAAAATAGATTATTTGGCTTATAGATAGTTGCTCCCCCTATCTATAAGGCTCCCCTTTCTATGTGTACAAATGAGGAGATTTCTCTCCCCCTTTGTCACCATCAAAAATGGGGAAAGAAAGCATAAAGACACATACTAAAGAAATCACACAATGCAGCTCAAGTGTTGGCCTACCCGTGTCTCCCTCAAGTGTTAGGAATTACAACCTACCACTATGCATTACCACCTACCCCACTCCTCTTGGGATGACCCAGTCTCTCACCTTTACACTCCTCTTAGTACATATGTGAGCTTGAGCATGATATGACATTGAAGGAACAAGAAAGAAAATATGGATATGACAATATAAGAACAAGGAAACCAAGAAAACAAAGTGGCAAAAAGAAATTATTTTCAATGAATGCTCATGCCCAATTCATTCCTAATGCGGCAAAAATTAACTTCACAAAGGAGTTTGGTAAAGATGTCCGTTAATTGAGATTTGGTGTCAATATAAACAAGAGAAACATCTTTCCGTTCAACAAGGTCACGCAAGAAGTGATGTTGTACATCTATATGTTTGGTTCTAGAATGCAAAACTAAATTTTTAGAAATATTTATAGTACTTGTATTATCACAAAAAAATCTTTGTATCATGAAAGTGTAAATCAAAATCAAACAAATTTTTTTTCATCCACAAAAGTTGTGCACAACATAAGCCAGAGGCAATGTATTCCGCTTCCGTAGTAGACAAAGCAACACAATTTTATTTCTTGGATGCCCAAGATACAAGTAAGTTACCCAAAAATTGACAAGTACCACTCGTACTTTTGCGGTCCACCCTACAACCGACAAAGTCGGCATCACAATAACCACAAAGATCAAAAGATGTATTTTTAGGATAAAACAAACCAAGTTCTAAGGTACCATTAATGTATTTAATAATCCTTTTAACCGCAACTAAATGAGAGTTTTAGGAGAAGCTTGAAAACGTGCACATGCACAAACACTAAACATGATGTCCAGCTTACAAGCGGTGGGATAAAGAAGACTACCTATCATACCTCGATATAGCTTTTGGTCTATCTTTTCACCGCTTTCATCTGCATCCAACTTGATGGTGGTGCTCATTGGAGTTAGGGCATGTTTTGAGCTTTCCATCTCGAATTTTTTCACCAACTCCCTTGCATATTTGCTTTGTGATACGAAGATGCCATCATTGGATTGCTTAACTTGGAGGCCAAGGAAGAAAGTGAGCTCTCGCATCATACCCATCTC